GCCTGACATATGTTGCGTAGAGTATTTGGAACATGCCCTCGTCTAATCGTTTGAAAGCCCTTCGAATTGCCCATAGCATTCGAAAAGCTTTAGCTGCGGCTGCATTGCAATTTGCAGTTGTTTTCAAATCATTGCTGACAATGATTCCTAGGTCCTTCTGTTCGTTAACATCAGGTAGTTCTGCATCCCCTAGGGAGTACGACGCATAAGACTTCTGACCTAAGTGCATTACCGCGCTTTTCCTAGCATTCATTTCCAAACTCCATAGGCTTGACCACTCAGCTAATTTATCTAAATCAGTTTGTAGGGCCGACCTATCCTCGTTATTGTTTACAGTTTTCCATATCTTAATGTCATCTGCAAATAATAATGAAGATGAAGAAAGAATCCCTGGTAATTCGTTAACGTATAATAGGAATAGCAATGGACCTAATACAGTTCCCTGGGGCACTCCACTGGATACTGCTTTCCATCCTGATAGTACACCGTTAACTCTAACCTTCTGCCTTCTATCCATTAAGTAATCTCTAAACCACTCACATAGGCATTGGTCTAGTCCGAAACCTTTCAGTTTACTAAGGAGACCTAAGTGGGATACTTTGTCGAACGCCTTGCTAAGATCAATAAAAACCACGTCCAACAGATGGTCCCTATCTCTGGCCTCAACCCAGTCTTCCCTAGCCAATAGTAGGTTTGTCAAGCAGGATCGTCCTGGTCGGAATCCATGCTGTTCCACAGCCAACAAGCCATGTGTTTCAACATAAGCTAATAGTTGATCCCTTATAATAGTTTCCAATACCTTTGCAATAATGCATGTCAGACTTACCGGCCTGTAGTTAGATACCAATTGCCTATCCCCGTCCTTGAAGATAGGGCTTATAATGGCATCCTTCCAGTCCCTGGGTAGCTTAGCCTGCGTCAGAGACATTTGGAAAATCTCCGTAAGCGGAATATATATTATATCCGCCAAGGAAAGTAACAGCTTAGGGTGAAGTCCATCCGGCCCAGGTGATTTACCTGGCTTCAGTTTAGACAGTAGTTTGAGAACCTTTGTGTGCTCTACCACAATTGAGGGCATCTGAGTGGCGATGGCAGTGACCTCGCCATATCCCTGGGTGGTACTATCAGACGAGAAGACGTCACAGAAGTATTCAGAGAGGTTTTCAGCCTTTCCTTCGTCTGACTCAGCCGCTTCTCCACTAATGGTTATGAGTGACGGTATACCACTGCTAGTTTTAGTCCTACGTTTAATATACGAGTAAAACCTTTTTGGGTAATGAACGCAATCTAGTACTAATCGTCTCTCGTACTCTATACGACTCTTGTTAATCGCATACTTACAGAGGTTTCGAGTTTTGCGGTAGTCTTTCTGGAAGTTTTCCCTTCCTGTCATAACAAATTGGTCCCATAAGTTCTTTCGCCGTCTTAATAACCTCCTTATTTCACTAGTGATCCAAGGAGGTTCATGCGACGGCTTTCGAGGAGTGTACCAAGGTATAAAAGGTGAAGTGACACGATCTAGTGTATTCCTAAATCCTACCCAAGCTTCCTCGACAGTCTGACTTGTATCAACTGACCAGTCAACCACAGTTGCTGCGTTCCGGATTCCTTGTATATCCGCTTTCCAAATGTTTGGACGAGCAGATTTTGGCCTGTGCATGAGAGAATGAATCCTAAACGTAAAAGCAATGACTATGTGGTCACTGCTGCCAAGCGGCGGAAGGCACCTAATGTTACCAACGTCCTCCTTCTGGTGTGTCAATACCAAGTCTAGAGTAGATGGATCATGTTCAGGGTGATACCGTGTTGGTGCATGCATATGTTGCACGAGTGCACATTCAAGCACTGTCAATGTGAGCTCCCTATTGAAACAGGTATACAAACTAGTGGAGTTTAATTCCCCCCAATTAATATGTGGAGCGTTAAAGTCGCCAACAATCAGACACCTATTTCTACTACCCCACGCCCTCAAGTGATTTAGAACGAAGTCATCAGCTTGGCTAGCAGGACTTCTGTAGATAACTCCGATCGTTAAAGTGCCTTTGTTTAAGTTAATGATGCAACTTGCGGCTTCACTGGTGCCGCTGTCATGAGCTTCTGACAACGTTGACCTGATCCCTATGTCATCCCGGATGTATAGAGCAACCCCCCCACCTTTCCGACTACTTACTCTGTCTGCTCGTATGCAGATATACCCAGGTATGAGTGGAGTTAAGTCTACACCCACTAACAACCACGTCTCAGTGATAGCAATTACATCAGGTTGTAGTCTTTCAGATAACTCTCCTAATTCGGCGAGCTTATTCCTAAGACTACATGCGTTCGTATAGCACACCGAAACACCTACGTGTTCACCCGGCTTATGAAGAGAGGTCTCGGCAGCATCGGTTTCCGAGACCTCACCACCCGAAAACCCAATAGTTTGAGGTCCTTTTCGCCTTTCTCTAGCCTGGCCTTTAGTTCAGCCACGGCTTCTCTTCTTTTGATTCTATCTTCTAAAGGCCAATCAGGCCTTATTTTTAGACTTTTGTCGTTGACTTTGAACGCGTTGTCGAGGATGGTCCTCCTCTCTGTTTCGTTCCCTAAAACTACCTTAAGTAGTCGTCGAGGAGTTCCTGTAGCATCAGGGTTTCGTTTTCCGATCCTGATAGCCTTTCGTACGTGTACTCCAGTTGTTTTTTCGGGAAGTATTTCCCGGAATATGGAGCTGATCGCCTTCAGATCATCTGCATGTCGGGCAGCTGGATCTGTGTTCTTAGATTCCTCCAAGTTCCAGATGATAATACTGTAACTAGAGTCCGTGGGTTTCTGAGTTTTGCTGGAACTAACAGTCGTCGAGACCTTGTTGGTAAACTCGGCTACTGTTTCTTTCCTAGTTTTGTTTTGCTTCTTACCTTTCGGCAGCAACCAAGTGGAGTCCGTTTCTCCTACTCTGTTTTCGCCGCGACTAGAAGCCATTCGTGCACTAGACACGCTGCGCTTTGGCGTTGCTATTTCACAGGCTGGTTTTGCCATGCTGGCACTACTTGCCCTTCTGGATTTCCGTTGCCTTTTGCGCTTTGCAGCAACAGATGTTTGGGCATTTTGTGCTTCTTTCGCTTCTGAGACTTCAGGAGGTGATGCATCCTGAATCTTACAACTATGTCCTGAACCGCCATCCTTGGCGAAGGTTTCTGGTACAGGCTTTTCAACTATGTCTTTCGACAATTTCTTGGACATCAAGAGTCCTACTGCCTCTTGGATGAGGACATCTAACGGGTTGCTGCAAAATTTGCACAGCCATGGAGATGATGGCTTGCAACATCTCTTATAGGCTACTGGTGTTAAACCAGTGCAAACTTTGTGGAACCAAAGGCTGCAGTTGTCACACTGCATCCCATCATCCACCGGAAAGTGGCAGTCCGGTCGTCCACAATTGTTAGTTTGGGCCATAATTCATGTGAACAAATATGGCAAACGTTGTATCACAGTATGTATTCCAATGTTACAGAAGCATTTTGAAGGTGTGTTGCTTCACCGATGAGCCGAGGTGTGTGCTGTAATCCAGCTAGTTTGTTACAAATTCACATATTCTTAGTGGCATCTGGGTTTCTGAGTACTACGCTTTCTATTTTTATTTATTTTATTCAGACCACTTTTTGCAATGAGGGCACCAACATCTGCATAATAAGCGACAGTCCGTGTTTGTTGGAACTGCCGCATATCTTGACCATTAGAGGTGCTCTTAAGTGGTGTGCTCAGCAGTAAGGCTATAACAGTCTTACCCTTCTCAGAGGTCGTCTTGATTTTCATGGGTCTCCCAGGTCCTGTCTTAAGAAGTTTATGGAGGGTATCATATTTCTTTAATATTTTCCATTCTTTTCTTCTCCCTTCCAATTATCATTCAAGGTAGTAACTGATACTTTTAACCACCTCAGCGTACTTACCCAGTGCCGCAAAGAATCTGTCCCTTTCAGTGATCAGGTGAAATAAAGTTGGAAACACTTATTTTCCAATGCGCTAACCATTGCGTCAAAATTACTTATCTGTTTTCATTGTTTTTGAAGCAGATTGAATATCGGTTTCTGGTTTCGTCAGATTGATTGTCTTTGTTACACCTAGATAAATGCTAATCCAGCCGTATGGATAAAGACCTAGTTTGTCAACCAGGAAGGTTGACATGTGAAGGCCTTCACTGGCTTAACTTTGATATGCATTCTATCAGAGAAATCCATCTTTGGAAAATCCTACATGAAGTTATGATGTACAAACTGCAAGGTAGGTTTTTTCTGACCCAGACGAAAAAGGAAGTTCAGTTGGTTCGTCAGTCTACTAAGCGAAATACCCTACTTCTATTGGATCCTAGTCTTACCATAGCAGTCGTTCTGAGTAATCAATTTATACCGTAGTAAAAACTTCTCAAACCTACCGTTATTCACCCGATAAGTTTGTCTTGTAGAGCCTGTCAGAATATTCACTTCAAACAAAATCAGTCTAACCAGTTGACTTCTAGCCACTGGGTCCTGAATTCTAATCAGACCACCTACATCAGCTTAGGGAACTGGTTAGTATACTCAGCTCTCAAAATAATTGTGGTTTGCAGTCTGGTACATTCGAAACCTGTTGTGAATAACTGAGATCTAATTAGCTGAGTCAACGCAATTTGCAAGCGAGACCACTATGCTAAGGCAGAAACCGTATCGACAAGACTTTAGGGTATTAAGGAAAAAATAAAGTACTCAAGGTTAAATGACAAAATTCCACATCTGCAATGAAATCCATGAGGCGATTTTGAATACACATTATGAGAAAACATAACATTTTCCTAAAAACTAAAAACAAACTAGATAGAAACGCCAAGATTTCCAGTGAATTTTGAATTACTTCATCAATAAGGCACCCAGGATATCCTAGTCTTCACCCTAATCACATCTGTAATAACAGTCAAAACTTTGAATGCAACACTTATTTAAATTACTTCCTCTATGATAACGATTCCTTTCGTATAATGTGTCTTCTAGGTAAATAAGCAGTTCGCAGAAAAACTGATAGCAGAAGTCCCTCCAATTGCAAGTAAAGAACACATTGTAAGCTGTGATGGTGGTGGTGGTGCACTTGGTCATCCAAAAGTATACATCAATTTGGTAAGTAGTGATCTCGTTTATTCCCTGTTGCTGACTAAAATTACTCACGTCGTGATTAATTTAGCTTGATTGCTGAAAGACCGGTGTTCACTAAAACAGCTTTTAAACCACGGGATATTCTGACTGTTTTGAAACCTCAACCTAATTGTTCTAATAATTGTTTGTCATATTTATTTGAGACTATAAGTATTATTTTCATGCATGCGTAACCGCAACCAGCTTTACGTTTTTCCCAAAAGTTCGGAAATGCTACCTTGCATAAGACATTTGTAAAATCTCGAGTCGATTAATTCTATTTTGTGAAGATAACAAGTTAGAACTGTTGAAAATATATAAGAGACCGAAATCACTCTTATTTCACTATGCAGTAACATATGCACTTTAGTCGCATATTGTAGATGTACGTGAATTAAACTCTTTAAGTAGTATAGTGGAGAGAATAAGATAAAATGTGCTAGTTCTCATCTTCTTACTACTAGTTTCACAAGAACTGAAGATGACTGGATATCACCTGGGACTACAATAACCAGCTTTTGTGTGAATTCATACAAACATAGAATCCCTTCATCAACTAAGCAATGAAATTAGTTCACAAAATAGCCTCATGCACTTACTAACCTATCTTGCTGCAAAATAATCAGCAACATATAAAACAAATGACGTGCTCTAAGAAACGAATCTAGGTATGAGAACCACTCATTATAGCCTTTGTTTCCTATTTCTCTCTGCTTTTAATAGCATATAGGTGCAATTAACAAAGATGGTCCTTGCTAAAACCGACTCTGTACGTGTATTGAAAAGATTTTCACAGGAAAGTACAAGACTACCTAGTAGTGTCATTGGCAGACACAACATTGGCACTCTTAATGTCATCGACTCTGAAACAACTTTCTAGGTGGTAAATAGACACATTAACAGCGTACTGCTATGACGTGAAAAAGCTGCAAGAGTTCAACGACTGATGTCTAACTAGTGCATATGGGAAAGTTTTCTGGTTCACTTCGCATTGCCATAGTAATTTGTTGTTTTTTTCATTCACTTGTTTACTGTGTTGTCTAAGCATCTAAGTAATAAGGTGAATAATAACAATAATTTGCTTTATTCCAAAACAGTACTTGTGATACAGAATGGAATTCTCAGCATTTTACTACAGTATTGCATCCAGTTAGTACATTATCAATAAATAAAATTCTACATAGATTAAGGAAATCTCAGTTCATTATGACAACTACATATTGGCATGTCGGTAGCAAAGCCAAAATTTAAACAGAGTGTTTGAAGGTGTTAGAAAAGTAGATGGTAGCATATTTACTGGCGTAAGCAGAAGAAATTCACAAAGGAGCACATAACAGAGAAAAAAAAAGAGGGAGAAAAGGAAAAGAAAGAAGGAAAACGTACCTATAAAAAAAATGAGTTGGAAAGGCGAGATCCAGTTGTTCTACCGACTATTTAATAAGTTATAGGTTTCACGCCTAATGCTTTCTTAATCGCACAGAACACGAGCTAAGTAGGGTATGGTTGAGTTTTTGTACTTGTTAGTGCGAGCATATAGCTTTCTATGTAGGCTTCTGGTTCTGCCTGATGAGATACAAGGGGAGAGTTGTGAGTGAAGAGGGTGGTGTGAGTTAGATAGAATGGAAATAGCCCATTTTTCGCATGAGTCCAATCAGCAGGTGTCAAGGTTTGTTGAGGAAACCCTTCAGTTACTGAACGTAATAAAGTTAACAGAAGTTGGGAATTTACAGCATATGCGACCAGTGTTAATGTTTCTACAGTTAATAAACATGCTTACATCCTATCAAATTCTACTTGTAATACAGCCTGTCGTTTCCTTATATATTTTTCGCGATAAACGTTTTACCACCTAATTTGTGTCGTATCGCTATTTTTGAGAATCTTTTCATTTTCTATTCAAACGATTATTTGTGCTTACTGGATAACTTGCATAACCAACTCCTATCGAAAGCCTAAGTCAGTGAATCCTTCACACCACACCTGTTTATATCATAACTGTATGTTGTAAATGATGAATACATTTGTCTCTTTCCATATTTCAGGACCAACCAGGAAACCACGCCTGTGGGTATTGTGGTCTTCGCTTCTACCTCGACAACAAAGGCCACTGAATGTGTTAATTAAATATATTTCTTAGAAAAGCCACATTAGCACCTGTGGTGTTGATTATCAGAAAATCTATATATGCCTCCAAGATATTGAACATTTAAATAACAATGTAGCATACTTCTGCAAGCGCTTGCATACAAAACATTATTTGCAATCAAGACTTTTTGGCCACATTATGGCATAAAACAGTCACCATAGTCTTCACTCAATATGTTGTTAGCTCGTATACGCACTGCCAAATGTCTGTGAGCGTTATGTGATCATTTAATGTAAAGCATAGAAATCAATCAGTGGAAGTCACCGAAATTTGACGTGTGTAATCAGAACATACACAAGTTCTTTATAAATGTTAATTAAAATTGTCCCTTTCGTCTGTGTGAAGCCTAATAATATATTGTAAAGTGCTGCTCATACTTTTATACAGTCAACTGGGTACTGGTTATTAAAAATAAGTTCTCTTCCCCATAACCACTGAGTAAACTTAGTATGTTCAGTGAACAGCAGAGTTACCAAGCGACTCAATGTTTTCCAGCAAATAGTGTAAATGTAACGGTTAACTGTATGGTAATCAGTTACTCCTGACGAATTTAATACTCCGTTCGGTTGTAAAGTGCACGAAACTGTCGCTCGTGAAACATCTATGTAGACTTCGATCAGGCTATTGTCCGCGCACGTATATGCCTACAGCGGAAGTAACATCTATAAAGCGGTTACACCCCAAACTTAGCGAGGACACAAAGTTTTTACTTTGAAAAGAAATAACTAACGGTGTATATGAGATTGCCATTATGACTCGTCCTGGGGCAGCCAGTTGGCTGTAGAAACAGTAATTAAGACTGTTGAAAACCTGAAATCCAAGGTTAGTAAATGCAGTGGATTTCTGCCTCTTCACTCACACTAGCAGAAGCAAGAATATTGATTTCTGAACACGACGATGATTGAAAACTGCTCAATTACGAGTTGACGATAAGTTTGTGCTACGACTGAACATTAGTAGGCGACAAAATCTACACAGCTAAGAAAGGCATCAGTGGTAAGTGACTCGACAACTATTTGCGCATACCAAGTGAACACGCTGACAAAAACCAATTTTAAGCGAAAGAACTTGACTGTGCTCCAATTAACTCTTAGAAAAGGCGGCTGGAATGTTGGCGGTAACACTTTGAGGAGCAAACCAACTAACTTGCAACTAAGCTCGATTCGACTAGTATCCAACACCTACCTGTGTGGGATATAGATATCCGTCCTCCAACTGAGGTTGCAAAAGCTTTCTCCAATCTAGAGCGAAACAAAGTATGAGAACCTGGTGGTGATGCACCATAAGTGTTCAAGGGGGTTGTGACGAACTAACTAATATTTTAGGTAATGTGTGAGGATCCCAAATAATCCTGCTGGACTGGTGTAAGTTGTTGTTATCCCTGTTTATAAGACGGGAGACAAGTTCTCCTTTAATAATCGACCATAGGGAGGTTAGGCTTGAAATCAACATGGTACCCAAAATCGTAGCTTCAAAAATCTTACATAGACTAAGCGGTAGTCGGAAGAAACGAGTCCGGGAGGACCTGTCATGCTTGAGGAAAAGGGTATGTTGATCATGTCTCCACTATTCCACAGACTCTGAAGCGTAGGCATATTTACCGACGTGCAACGCTTCCTATTTATCTTGACCTAAAGGCTATATTTGACTCCGTCGACCAAAAGACGCTGTGAAAATGCTGTCTGTCTCTTTTCAACGTAGAACTTTGCACCGGCGTGCAGCAGTTCGAGTCTCCACACAAAGCCAGGGAGGAAAGTAAAATGAAACGCAAAATAGAGAAAGTAAACAGGGATATGAGACTAAACGAATAACAATATAGTTTCATTCGAAATTAAATCACAAGGCGCACCTGCGCCATTGAGAACAATTTTGAGCCACATCACCTACTGTCTCCAGCCATTGGTGTTTACCGTCCCGAGGTCCACAACCAGTCAGGAAGTCTACACTTCTTGACGTAGCTCAAACTAACTGTTGTGGACTTCATTGACCGCTTAGGCCATGTTTCCGTTTGACCATCACTAGCTCTTTTCTAGCCTGACCCTATGTCAGCTAACATTTCCCGTCGAGGTAGGTGATGGCTAGGCCTGCGTAACACATGTCCTAACCACCTCAGTCGATGTACCTTCATATCATCGTCGATTGATTTCTCCTTAACTAGCACTCGACCGATACCTAAGCTCAACATTGCTCACCCTATTACCCCTACCACCTAACACGGGAGACAGTACGCAAACACCTATGACCAAAGATAGCTAGCTGGTTTCTCAATGGCCAGGTCTCTCTGTCAGCCATAAAGGTGGACGGAGCGGACTGATGAGCAGTACACACGCCCTTTGGTCGATAGCCTGCCGGATATCACGTCTACTCCAGAGGTGGCGTTAACTGCAATATGCGAAACTAGCTTTCCTTATCCTTTCTGAAATTTCGTTAGCGACCAACCTGTTGGCGCTGGCTGATGCAACCTCCAAGATAAGTGAAGTGCTCAATATGCTCCACAAACCACTTCACTCCCTATTTCTAATCTAGGAATCAATGTATTCCAGTCCTGTAGCCTCATCATCTTACATTTGGCAGGAGCAAATTGCATGTCAAACATTCGAAGATTGCAGTTCAAGGTGTTCAGAAGACTCTGCTCTTTTTTGTCAGCGTCTCCACCTAGAGGGGAGGACTATATCATCTGCATATTCGAAGTCAACGTGATTATTCCCTTGCGGTAACAAGTCAATCCCTCAGTCGCTGAAGTCAGCAGTTAGGGTGAAGTCCATTAGTACATCTTCGGTGAAATTAAACAGAAATGGGAATATTGGTGGACATCCCTGACGGACACCACAAGTTGTCACCACTTCAGATGACAACTCTCCGTAAGCTGTCACCTGCCTGACTGCATGAGTTCGAGTAGAGGGCCTCGATTAGTGTGATGTATATTCGAGGAATTTCTTTCACAGCTGAACATCGTCATAGTACTTCTTGGTCGACAGAATCGAATGCCACCTTTAGGTCAAGAATTATAACGATTCTTGGACGCCAATAAGTATACCTACGTTCCAGAATCTGTCGAAGGGTAAAGGTGTGGTCATTACACCCTCTTCCTGGTCTGAAGCCCGCCTGGTTGTCACGTGTTTGTGCCTCCCGAGCACAAATCAGTCTACGCACGATTACTGAACCTAGAACTTTATATACCACCATATTAGTCAAGCTAATGCCCCTATGACTATCACAAGAAGACTTGTCTCCCTTCTTGTATTTCGGGATAATCAATGACTTACACCAATCCGACGGGACTTCCTCTGGTTCCCAGACTATGCCTAATACCTTAGTTAATGCAGACAGTAAATTGTCTTCACCGTCCTTAAACATCCCTAGAGTCATTCCATCAGGTCCCGCTGCTTTCCCTCGTTTCAGTTTGGTGACAGCTTTTGTGACCTCAGTTAGGGACGGAGGACCTGTGTTTACATCCTATATTCAGGGAGGTGTTGGATGTTCGGTAAGTTGAGCGTGGGAGGTTGTTACTTCCCGGCTTCCCACACCGTGGAAGTTGGTTGACTCTTTGGGTACCTAAAACAGAAAGAGGGTTAGTGTTGCGTCACGGCAGATCCCAGGGGATAACTGCCTGGGGCTAGTCACACACAGCCTGTATGAACTTGTTTCTTGGTTGCTGTGACAATTACTGGCCGAGGAAGTAAATCGCACTGATAACAAATACTAGAAGACTGAATCTAACTTTCACCAAGAGAACTTGATATCCACCTCACTATATCGTATATTGCGCAACCTAACGGGCAATTTAAGGAATTTAGTGTATGAAGAGACACTGGGTGTGTAATTACTGAATGGACGCGGTAGACTTGTAACTCAATACTACTATTTAAAAGTTGCATTCATAGCTGCTGGAATATGAGTGTTGTCGGAAAAAAACGTAAAATACCCTCAAATCTAATGCATCACCAAATACTGGAAAACTTAACTGTGGTGTCTAATAACTCCCAAATGTTGCGGTTACGAAAAGAAATGATATTACTACTAACAGAATACAAATAAAGTTCAAGCTGTCTCGAAACTTTGTCTAGGAAAATCTAAATTTGAACCTTCCAATAGAGAATTGAATCAGTAACACGATGATCAGTATATTTATCCTATATATTATTCATTCAAGTTACAGTAACGTGAAGGATGTTCAAACTCTATTAGTTAAACTATATCAGCGTTTATAACCACACTTCGACATAACTTGAACCAAAGAGTACTATTATCAGGAATAATCTATCAGCAGAGAACCTATTAATTTACATCTAAGATAGCAAAGCAAGATTTGTTGTGTAGAATATTCAAGTATTAGGCAAAGCATCAATACAGGAGAAAACGACACCTTGGTTACTGATGCAAGTATAAAACTTGGGCAGTTTGGTAGGGTATAACTCCATTATGGATAAGATTTTATTTTAATAAAACATCATCAATTAATATTACTGTATAACACTGTGTGATTTATCAAAATAAAATCTTATCCATCTTGGTCACGTACGTAATCTGAGTGATGTGGAAATTGCATGCAAGTGGACTCGATGTTCTTGAACCTGACTAAAATACGCATTAGCTGAGCTGATGAAATTCAAGTACAACTAAGTAGAGCTCATTAATAATGATATATATACATGACTTACGTATACTGAATGTACGGAAATTAGTGACGCTTATGGCTATAGAAAAAAAAATAGTCACGCATTCGAGAGCCATTAGTTTCCATTATGTGCTAGACGTTATTCTTCTCTCCTCCCATGTATATCAAAGTCTGGTCCATTTCAATGTCAAATTCACAAAACAGGTAGTTTCTATAAATTATCATTCTTCAAAACAAACTTCAAATAATAAAAGCTCAGATCACATAGAGTGATTTATTAGTATATTTAAATTCTGTATCTGTTTTACAAAAATAGACTGTGGAGAAGATTATTGCTACATAATTATAATAAAAATAATGTAAATCATATTGAAAAACCGTAAACATAATTGTCTCTACACCCAGTAACAATATGTACATCATTGGAGTTCTGGGAATATACAACAGGAGAAGAAAAACACTGGTCAGGTAAACGATAAGTTGTTAGCAAATCGGGATATTCTACTTGAACAAATGACAGTGAAGTGTTAAGTGCAGGTAAAGAACACGTAAAGAGTAAACCATCTGCTCTTGTCTCAAACAATAAACATTTGTTAGTATTATGTGAAATCGATTCAGTGCATAGTAATGATGGTGTGTTTAATGAACATAAATTGGTCTCAGATAAATCGAATCTGCAATCAAGCATCCATACTAAATTACCACTAAGAACATTCAATGCGAACATAAAACCTTTATTCGTACTAATTATAACACTATTTGACTGACAATCAAAGACAGGATCTGAAAATATTGCGTGACCATTCAATTCCTTGGAACACTCGTAACTCCAATTTAGTGTTCCATTCAGTAAAGACCAGGATTGAATCCTTCCACTAACTGCCGCTATGATGATATTAACCTTATTATTAGAATCAAAATATAACAATGGTTTGTTGAAAATTGGTATTTTTGCATGTTGCATCCAAACTAAATTGGCAGGATTTCTTGGATCTAAACAGCCAAAAGAACCACCAAGACTTGCAACTACAAGATACGGTGTATTTGTGTCAGAAGTACGTGACACAGTAATAGGAGAAACAATAGGTGACCCGTCAAAAGGATTGGTCCATACGGGCCTCATTTCAGTCAACGAACGCAGGTCCACAGCATGGATCAGTTTGCTATGGGAACCACATACTAGAAATCTATAATCATGAATATACGTAGTAGGAGACTTCACAGCACCTCCGGTGTCATACGAACACAATACAGTTCCTTGTTCAATATCCAAAGCACATATGTTCCCACTCAAAGTACCGACTGTAAGTATTGATGTCGAACCCATGTATGCATATGCACAAGAGGCTTCGATACGTCCTGATATAGGCACACTGGAATCCGACCAAAGTGGACAACCATCGGGAACGCGTATAGCAGAAAATAAACCAGAATGGCTACCTACAAATGCACACCCATCCATAAGTCTGTCAGGACCGGAAATGATTACAGGAGATGCATCAACACACTTAAGTAAATCATGCCGCCATATCAACCTGATAGCGTCTCTGTGCAGTAAATTAGACAAATGCAATGAAGATCCACTGGTGTACAGGCTGAACGGAGACTGGTGTCTGTACTCAATATTCATTTCAACATCACTTGATTTACTTTGATCAGTTTCTTTAAACGAACTAAATTTGGTAGGATGTTTTCTGGGTCTTGTAGAAGTGTGAGAAGATCGTAAAATCAACTGGCATATACGACTGAATGGATGAGTAAATATTGAGGATAAAAGTTTATTTCTTCTATTAGTCAAGTTTGGAAACTCCTGAATTATCGTTTCAATAAGATTTAACGCCATTAAAGACGAACCACCAGCTTCTAAGAATGTTAGACGCTTATCCAATATATTCATATTGTCTAGTCCAAGAGACTCCTTCCATACGCTTATTAGTCTGGACTTCGCTAATGTCGAGAATTTGAAAACTCTGTATGGTCTGTAAATCAACTTCCCATGACTTGAAACTGGCAATGGATGACAAGAGAATACAAACTGAGTAGGTATCCAAGGCTCAGGGTTGGGGGTGAATATTGCTTTCAGTTTCCTAACGATGTGCAATTTCAACCATTTTAGCCGGTTAGGAAGCAAAACTTTCGAGGTATTTTTATTATTTGTTTTAGAGGAACAACAGCCAATTTCAATGAACGCGATAGTAAAGTTCCTACTAGTTGACTTTTTGGAAACTTGACATCTGCAGTTCTTAATTCTGATACCTGGTAATTTACACATTTTGATAGCATGCTCTAGACGCTCCAAGCATATTTGATATCCTAACCGTTTCACTATGCGATCCTTTCTGCCCAGAAACCATAGGCACTTTCCACATTGTCCATAGTGCACCAAGTCAGCAGTTGGCCATATGGTCTTGACATTCAACTGTGAAAGTGCATCAGAAAACTCTTGAACAGTAACAGTTGGTCCTTTTGTACGTATGACGGAAAAACCGCCGAACTCACGAGATAATCCCAATTCCCACACATTTGCCGAGGTAGATGGAATTAGTGAGAAAGTGGTCCCTAGCATAGGGAACCCTAGAGGTGAAGATCCATACACAGGAGGCGAACACTTACAATAAATATCATCATTCGTCAAATCTTCGTCTGGGCCATTGACTTTAAAGAGATGACTCCACGAGGAAACCTCAGTGGTTCCATAAATATTATACAGAGTAGCCTTGTATTTTTTGATATTTATAAATTCATTCAAAGGAAACGGTTCTCCACCAAGCAAAACTTTTAATCTTGGCTGCGACAAAAGCCTCTTGAGAAGATGACGGTCGAGTCCAGAAAGCTGACTAGGCGTGCATTGCAACCAATCAACATTTGCATTTATGCATAAAAGTGATAAGGCTTTTGATTGACTGAGAATAGAAGATGGACACATGACTAAAGTACGATGACTTAGAAGAGAGAAGTAAATTTGAACAATACTAGGGTCAAATGTCAGAGGTGAAGCCAAAACAACAGAATTTTCTTCGGGACTGCAATGATCGTCACTCGGAAATCTCATTCCTAAGTCCAAAATATTGGCTGTTAGACAACTGTCAGCCACACAAACTAGTTTTCTTTCATCACTGAAGCTTCCAGATGTGCTAATAATATATGCCAGATGACTGTTGGGCAGAGTAAATGGATTCGCAAATATATCAGCCTTTGAAGAAGAAGATAAACTGGAACGCAATAATAAACACCAATCATCACGAGAAAATACACTGTCGAGAGTATTTGTTGAGGTGGCTTGATAATTTAAGAAACCATCAATAGGAATAACGTCGATGGGGTTGCACAGCCAAACAATAGCATCAATATGGTCTATAAGTGGCCTCAGTCCAGAAGAAGCTGAAGAACTCAGTATAGGAAAGAAAGGAATTCCTGATTTAACAATGCCATGAGTCACCACACTAGTTAATATATGTGGAGCCCAAATGATTGCAACAACTGGTGTTCTGTTACTGTTGTTAGGTGCAAAAATTAAATGACGTCTGAATAACTCCACCAATTCATCTGAATATTTCTGAAAATCTCCGTATGACAGAGTTTCAACACCAGAGCTCCTTGAAATTCCATTCCAAAATTCTATACAGTGTTCATCAGCTTTCCATCTTGGTGATACACAGTCTTTAAGGAAACATGGCCAGCGAAGACTTTATTGAATGAAAACTGCAACACTAGCTTACCTCATGTGATTAGGAACAAGATATAAAGTCTAAAAGCAACACCAAAAATTGTACTGAAAAGGAAAAGAAACAGGAAACGGACTGAGTGTATTTTCCAAATAAGTGATATATATATATATATATATATACGTTGGAAAGAACACTTTGAGGAGCAGTTTAATTGGCCTAAAGCCACGCTCAACTTACCGAACATCCAACACCTCCCTGAATATAGGATGTAAACACAGGTCCTCCGTCCCTAACTGAGGTCACAAAAGCTGTCACCAAACTGAAACGAGGGAAAGCAGCGGGACCTGATGGAATGACTCTAGGGATGTTTAAGGACGGTGAAGACAATTTACTGTCTGCATTAACTAAGGTATTAGGCATAGTCTGGGAACCAGAGGAAGTCCCGTCGGATTGGTGTGAGTCATTGATTATCCCGAAATACAAGAAGGGAGACAAGTCCTACTGTGATAATCACAGGTGGGTTAGCTCGACCAGTATGGTACTTTAAGTTCTAGACTCAATAATCAATGCGCAGACTAAGCGATGCTCGTGATGAACAAACACGAGAGAACCAGACAGGCTCTAGACGAGGAAAAGGGAACATTGATCATATCTTCACCCTTCGACAGATTCTGAGACAAACATTCTTATCGGCGTCTAACAATCGTTATATTTCTTGACCTCGACGCGGAATTCCACTCCATTGACCGAGAGGTACTATGACGATATTCATCTGTGAGAGGAATTCCTCCAATATACACCACACTAATCAAGGCACTCACACTACTCGAACTCAAGCAGTCGACCAGGTGACAGCTTACGGAGAGTTGTCATCTGAAATGGGGACAACTAGTAGTTTCCGTCACGGATGCCTTCTGTCCTCATATATATTTAATTTAATCGTAGATGTACTAATGGACTTCACCCTAACTGCTGACTTCAGCGACTGAGGGATTGACTTGTTACCGCAAGGGAATAATCACGTTGACTTCGAATATGCAGATGATATAGTCCTCCCCTCTAGGTGGAGACGCTGACAAAAAAGAGCAGAGTCTTCTGAACACCTTGAACTGCGATTTTCGAATGTTTGGCATACAATTCGCTCCTGTCAAATGTTAGGTGATGCTGAAGGACTGAATTGGACTACATTGACTCCTAGTTTAGAAATAGGCAGTGAAGTGACCACTTCACTTATTTTGGAAGTCTCATCAACCGGCGCCAACGGGTCGCTCGCTGAAAGATCTCAGCGCGGATACAGTATTTGTCCTCACACCCGACAAATACTCACCGAAGACATTGGCTAGGGGTCGCGCTATACCGTCAGTTCGCAGAGGTTAGAAATTATGGGCTGGCCATTGGATCGGGTCCCAGTGGCTTAATGGTATACGAGCTCGCCTTGTAACCAGAAGGTCCTGGGTTCGAACCCCGTGGTGTGGGTGCGTACTGATGAGGAGTCCCAAACTAGGACGAAATAGCTGTCCAGTACTCCCAGGTTTTCCAATGGTCCTCTAACCAATGTCAGCCTATGATGAAATCCTGTAACCAATCAACCAAATCCCTACAAACCAATACTTGAATGTTCCCGTTTAGCTTGAGAAAAGAGTAATCAAATCAGTATATAGTGCAATCTTTTCTTATCCAGTGGATAGTGAACACATCAAAATATATGAATCATTTACGGTTGTGTACCGAGTACCAACCAATCTGCCTAAAGGTCCATGACTACGTCTCTTAGCTACAGCAGAAACTATAGAGACTAATAAGAAAAAACCTGACCTATGTGTGGAGAAGAAGCACATTTATCGTCCTTGTTTACTCTGGTCTACTATAAGGTCATCAGCGACATAAATATCTCATATTTTCATGTCACATTATGCTTTTCTTATGTCTTTCTACCTAGTTTACTTCCTCCGATTGTTATCCTCATTATTTGTCAATCTTTGTAATTTATACTAAGCTTATCATGTCACTAGTATTTTATTACAGTTCTCAATTTAACCACTATTTCATCACTACACTTGATATTTGTCAGCCCTTGAACTTACATTCAGCGTTCCCCGTTTGTTGGTATATGTTTGTATGTATTTTGCGGTAATCATATTTCTATTACACCACTGAATATAACCCACTACTTCCTTCCAATGAAACTTATATTCTGGTGAATGTAAATACACTAGTGTCACACAGTTGTCTATTCACATTTTATCTCAGGTTTTGAATCATTGTACACTTTATATACAATCACCTGACAATATTAACTAATGAACTATCATTCCATCTTAAACATGTGCCCCAATATAGTTCCTGGCATAATTTCTATCTGTCTTTACTGGCTATTTATGTATTCTAATATTAATGGGGAAGAAGTTATCGAAAACGAGTGTTCACTCCAGATCAACTTGTTTTGATTGCGTTACTATTACCAAGATAGTATGGATTTAAGGTGTGGCCAGTCGTTGAAACAACTAGAAAGTTAAAAAGGAAAGAGATGCTTTTGTGAACGGCGGTGGAGATAGATGACGGAAAACGAAGTTTCACGAGTTATGAAAATGCTTATGACATTTTGAGAATACAGAGCAATTTACAAACATCACCTGCACATTCATACAACTGGAATGCACAAAAATGAAACTGGTTCCAATAAGTTGAAATCATCGGTGTTGATTAAGTGATTGGTGACTGGCTTAAACAGTAGTGATTCAAATAAGTGTGCACAAATGGAGATGCAGCAACCAACTAAAATTCACCTAATTACAATGCAGCAATCAAGTTCATTATCGTCAGCGCACATTGTTCAGGATTTAGGAAAAGCTTGCTATCCTGATAAATGCCTTAAACTAAATTCCCAGTCAAAAATTCCTAGTCATTATTCTGAAATTCTAGATCTAACACTAAGTAACAGACATCTGGATGAAGACTGAAACTCCCAGAGTTATTTCACAGCGTTTAAGAGAAAAAATATCCGCTTAACATCCTTAAACTTCCTTAATCATTTTTCCAAGATAATTGGTAAGTTAGACTGATTTGCTGTAAACCTTGAAAAGGGAGTGAATTTTACACGCTCTTGTTTAATTTTGGCTTTTGTTGTGTTATACACTCCAAAATTCCATAGATTAACTTTTAATCAGTTTATTCTGATCGAAGTTAGCTTACATTTCAGTTTTGAGTCTATTTAATTATAGGAAGTGTGCTATTATAACATTATAGCTATTATATACACATGCTTGTGCACTTATTGGGTTTTTTTATCACTGCTTAATAAAGGTTATATATTTTGATTGGACACTAGTAACTAGTGTGACGTTTCTAGTCCTTTCTTTGGTGCAGACTGAATTTTATCAGTCAGGTTTGCAATGTGGCCACCATTCTAGGTAGCTGGACATCACGGTGCACATTGATTTAATGATATTAGATGGTTGGTGGTAACGTCTCTGACTGCTGGTAGCACTGGGTGACGCGGTTTCGAATCTCAGAAGGGACATGAGTCCTTCAAGGTTGCAGATACGCCTTGCTGATGAGTGCCAACTAGCACGAAACCTAGGTCCAAGGCTTCCTTTGGCCGATTGCCTCTAACCATCTAATATCATCAAAAGGTTGTATATATAACGTCATTTAAATCTTTTTGCCCCAATTCTCTCTAAAAAGCATGCCGATTGAAAGGAACCGCTGTAGAAGGGTTATGTGACGATTTCCAGTCGAAGAAGGAATGCAGTGTGATAACTGCTAGAAATGGTTTTATAGCATGTGCACAAACCCAACTCCCGCAGCATACAAGCGCTGCCGCAAACCTCTGGGGAACTGCTGTAGTACGACTGAGTTTCGTATAATGGAAGCCATTGACATTTTCAGTGGGGCTCTAAAGCTCATAGACTGCAAGGGTCTTACACCACAGAAGACCGATTACTGCTCAGACACCGATGACGTGACCAGCATCACCGACAAATCAATACACGTTCCTGATGCGTCTCTGTCAGGGAATGAGTACCCTTCAACACGGGAGAGCACCTGCCATACTCCAGACACCCATGCTGCCCCTACGCTACCGGAAAAGTCCTCCAGTGACAGTAATGGGAAGACTGGCACGAAGAAGAGGCGTACCAGGGGTCGAAAACCTGCAGCTCAAGTCGCCCAGGGACTTGTAGATCAAGTTTCGTCCACGCCCGTGGACGGCAGGCAGATAAAACCTACTATGATTAGCGAGGAGGACGCCAATGAATGGCGTAATGTAGTCTCTCGCAAAAAGCGAGATAAGGACAATACATCGGCCACACTGCCCACGAAAGACAGGAAGATATTTACGCCGCAGAGTAAGAAAGCCACAGCAAGCAAACCTGATCTCTCCGATAGGTCACTCATTCCCCACAAAGTGGAAGAATCACCGACCTCCGATCCCAAGGTCAGGTTTCAAATCCTTACGGGCAATTCTCAGTTTCTACTAGAATTACCAGACATGTTCACGTCCCTACATACATCTCTGGCGAAGACAAGACTGGAGAACTGTGTCCAGGCAGCCAGTCCTTGTCTTAAAAGGTACTCACATTTTTTAGAAAGGCTTCAAGGGAATGCAACACGTGTGATTCTCGACATGACTAATTTATCATACGAGAAAAGACTGAACAGTTTAAATCTCATCGTCCTGTCATACCGTAGGCAGAGAGAAGATTTAATCGCAACGTTTAAAACTTTAAATAATGACTACGGACCTGACCTATTTTCTCTTTTCCTTCCAACCAAGTCGCAACACCTAAGAGGACGTAGTAGGAGAGTTCAGAAGCCGAGAAGAAATCAAATTGCTGTTGAGTACCTGTTCTCACACCGAGTCGTAAACTCTTGGAACCGACTCCCAGAAGAAGTTATGCCTGCAACCTCAACTGATTTATTCAATAAGGGTTTGAACAACCACAGAAATTTACAAGATCTTGTCGGTTACTATTTTTTGGACCTGGGATATGTGGGTAAAACGTGGGCAGTTTTCCGTTTAAATGTGGGCAAAGTGGGAATAAGTGGGCTGTTTTCTAAAATGACATGGGCAAACGGGGAAAAAGTGGGTATATTTTGAATTCCTGCACATGGGATAAATGGGTTAAAACGTGGGTTACGTGGGAAAGGTGGGACAAACAAATTTTATCTGGACATGGGAAAACGGGGAAAAAGTGGGAAATGTGGCCAAAGTGGGTAAAATCGGTTGCATTTACACCATCTTTTGCCCACGTGTTTGCCGATCTAAATTACCCTTTTATCCCACGTTTGCCCATGTGCATTAACCGACTGAGGAAAAGGATTAACATAGGCTTCAAGCCATCTATCCTCAACCAATAAATCTGAAATCACACAAGCAAAGTCAATTGTTCGCTTGGATTACTATTTTGAAAAGCCAATTTAATTTGGATCGGCGTGTCTCCAAGATGTGGGTAATATGCAATACGTCAGCATTAGTCTCATTAGACATGAATTAATTCCTGTAATAATTTTTAAATATATGACGGTATATATATACATAAATTATACTTAACCATTATTGGCAGTTACTTATTCAAATACTTCAAAACACAATTTGCCAGTTAAAGATAGAAATTACCTAAACCCCGAATAGCAGGCAGACTTGACCTTGAAACTAACTCTCCCGGATAGAACGTCCAATATACAATATCGTTTTTACGAGTTTGTATAAACCAATTTGATTTCTTTGTGCTCGCTTCTTGATTGTGGGGTAAAAACTTCTAGTCTTCGATAGACTTCTGCCTAATTCGTCCAGCCACTCGACCGTCGTAGCTTTGGTTGACTTCAAAAGGAGTGCTGCTAGGATTAACTATATGTTGTTTCTAGTATGCGGTGTGCTAAGAATTTGTTGCTACTGTAAATAAAGTTGATCCTTTTACGATTTTGTCCTCCGGTTTCATCGTCGAAAGGTTTCATTAGTGTAGGTTATTCAGACTAAAAGACAGAAAAAGAAATAAAGAAAACGTTAGAACAGACAGCTAATAAAATTTAAGCTGATATGTGTGTACACATATATAAATAAATAAATAAATTTATTCTCATAGTACAGTACATGAGGGACGTCAGTTTACAGGCATCATCAAATTGTTACAGAAATAGGACCATTTAATTCAATCACAATTTACAGACGGTAGCAAGATATGCTGTACATGTTCGCCGGAGATTATACATACACTTGATAAATGTTAATCCCAATTGTATAAAACAGCCTTTTCACTCATATACAATCATTTCTGTGCACAGTTGGAAAAATCTGCTAGATTGTCAGTGAGTGCAACACCTCAGGATATACAGAAGTATTGTCTTCGGATTAACAAAAAAACAGGTCTATGGTGGATAGATTAACAATAATAATCATAATAGAAACAGCTTTATTCCAAACGGTATTTGTGGTACAGGTGTGGAATTTTCAGCTTGCATTATAGTATATTGCATCTAATTACCTCATTAATTATATAAGATTTTTAAAATCAAAAAATAAATAAAAACCAACACCAAAAAAAGATAAATGAAAATAAAAAAACAAACAGCGTAGAGTTTACATTTCAAACAATGCACCACAGGATATGAAATATAAAGTGCCCGGGAAAAAAATAAAGCTTGAAGTCATTTTTCATACATAACTTTGTTGTATACAGAATCCTTGAATTATAGTTCATCGATGTGTTATTTTGAAATCAGTGATATGTTTATCTCATTTGATCTGCAATGTCATTGTTGGGAGTAAAATACACAAGCTTTAGACGCATTAATTATTGGATTTCTACTGCTTGTGGGTATTTTCTTCTCGTGAGGAAGATTTTCGAATTTTAGTTGTTCCGACAGGAGTTGCGGATATTAACTGCTCAACAACATTATGAATATAAGTTCATCACATTATCTTAGGAAAGATGGGTTGTAATTGGTGAGGTATATATGATGCCCGACGAGCACACATCTGTCCATGTGATGTTGTGATGAGTTATATCTTTTTCATGTTGTTGGTTTATGTCCGTTTTATTCCACCTATTGTGTTGGGTAGAAGTTTTACAAGCAAAATTTTTTGTCTGTTTGAGGGTACGCATCTTAACCGTTAATTTTTATCTAAAATTATAAATATAGGCAAAAAACAACAGGTGTAGTGTCCAAGCTTATACATTAAATGGGTCTATAATTTCGGAGGTTGTCAGATAGTAACTAGAACTACTATCGTTTGCAAACTCTTGTAGTTATATACATTACATACGTGTTATGTACTCGTCGCTCAATTATTGTTATGGACTGGTCGAGAAACTAAGTCCTGACGCGAGAAGGCGGAAATCAGAAGACCACTAGGTTTGCGATGATACTTCTATTGTCCAAACACAAGGAGACGAAAATAAATGGTCTCACACCAAAGTGGTAAGTAAGTAAAGTAATTCCCACAAATTGTGAATGCGAAATATATATGAATGTTCCAGACAAATCATTAGACAGTCTTAACATGAATGGCTAATTATAATGAAGTATCGATCCATATATACATAGCGAAATATAACAGACATGTCAACAACCAACATATATGGATATATGTCACCAAGCAACGGACTGCCAACAAACACTCATATTATATATAATACAATGTAAGGAGAATACACATTATTAAAGGAGACAAGTTCATACAAGTGAAATGGTCACAAACTAAGCGAGCAAACAGAAAGAGAGACCAACATACACACACACATAATTATATATATGTGGATACATATCAATACGTGTATATAATATCAGTAATAATAATAACGATAGGTGTAAGTGTAGTAGTTCGAGTAGTCAGGACAGTAAGACGGGAGAGAATGTAAGGAAGTAAAACGACGAATTTAGTTGTCTACCCATGAATGGTATATATGATTTTAAGGGGGTAGGCCATTTAGACTCGGTCCTTGTCCCGCTTCACGATTGTCCAGCCTTCGCAGACGGTTACACAGCTACATCCGCCAGTAAGGAGTTCCAGGAATGACAAAACGCGCAGTGAAAAGTGGGTCCTTGCCCTATGATAAGCTATCCTACTTGGGTGTCCGTGAGGAAGCCTATACCTACTCAATGACGGAACACCTGTGTTTGGGTGATTCCGGTCAATTGTTATCTTGTAGGCAGCAATCAGTTCCCCTCCAAGCCTACCCTAGCTAGGTGTGAATAAGCCTAATTTCTTTAGCCTTTCATCATATGGTTTATTTTGGAGGCCAACCACTCCTTCTGTCTCCCGTATTTGCACTCTTTCCAATATGTACTTTATTATATTATCTTTACTAAATATGCTTATTAATATTATGTGTAAATTATCGAATTGATGATGCCTGTAAACTGGCGTCCCTCATGTAAAAAATGAGAATATATATTATTATTATTAATAGGTTGGCGTCTCTTCTAAGCAGTGGGTGTGCAATGGTATTATGCACTTCAAGGTGTGGTCTGACGTGAGTTTTGCACAAACTGAGAAAGAGCTCAGAAGTGATTGCACCCAGCTGTCTATGTGTAAAGTGTATGACCGCATATACCGTCGCTACACCACCTGTGTTCTTCACACTTTTTCCTATTTTTTCCGTTAGAACTAGACCCAAATCACGTTCCGAAGTTGAGCAGGACAAGCTTCTATTGCACAGTGTTTAACTTACCTTCTGCGGCCTACGGACACGTAATTTCACTACTTCTCACTTTTTCAGGTTGAGAGTCACACCATTGGCCACCGCTCAGTCTTCCAGAAGCCATGGATCTGCCTACAGCCTATCCGAGTCTTCCGGACACTAATCACCCTCCATATCGTCAGCGTATATAGAAGTCGTGCAGCTTAGACATCATAGCAGATCATTGGTAAAAATCAAAAACATCAGTGGTCCTAGGATAGAACACTGCGTCACTCCTGATGATGAGCTGTGAAAAGATGACTGGACTCAATCGGCCTCAGTGGGAGATTTCCTTTCAGCCATGTAGTCCTTCAACCATGACAGAAGTGGCTTATCTTTACCTGTCTGACATATTTTGTGTAGAAGGTCATTGTGAACTGTGTCAAGTGTCTTCTCAAAGTCTAGGAGGACCACATGGACTGGAACATTCATATCCCAGAATGATGCCCAATCATCCCAAGCTGGAAGTAGGCTTGTTACACAGGATCTGCCTTTTCTGAAGCCGTGTTAGGCCTCATGGAGTTTATTAGTCCTACCAAGGTGTTCCCTGATGTGATCATCAATAATACTTTCCAGTACTTATGATACCACTGGGAGTAGGGTTACTGGCTTGCCTATCCTCACCCTGAAGATCGGAAAAAGGATGTCTTGGCAGTTTCCTTGAATCCACCGAATGTTGGAACAAGTCTCATAAGGTCTGACAGAGAGCTTCGGCGTACTGTTTCAGAAAAGGTGGTCTGACGTCGTCACAACCCGGGGACTTCACAGATGTGAGTCTCTGTAGCTTCCCTAGTCCTATTACCGGGTTTTTTGTAAAGTAGCCGCTAGGTTTTCCTCCGGTGAAGCAGCGGTGTCGCAATTTTGGTGCGTGCCAGCAATAACCACATTGCTGCGTAAATGCTTGACGAAAGCTAAACTGAGTCTTTCAAACCAGTGAGCTATTGACCGTTTGGAACTACTAAGGCGCATGGCCCCTGGTTGGACGGTTTTCTCTCCGGCATGATAAGAACAGGCTTTTGGGGTTCACCAGGAATCGTTTATCAACATTGGCCTCATATATCTTCCTGTCACTCCTGGCTCTCACATTGTGTCGGTTTCTAAGTTCCAGGTGTGCATAAAGGCCGCTTTGGCTCTTGGATACTCGCCACGTAAACCAGGCCTTCCGCTTCGCTTCCAGAATACATTGCGTACATCTCCTCAGCCACGATGACCGTTTTTGTGGCTTTGGCGTGACTAAAGGGACGGCATCCGGGATTGTTGTGTGAATAATCTCTTCCGCCACTTCCCAGTGCCCATCCACAGATAACTCATCCTATGCCATGAGCCATTCTGCATCGGACAAAAGCCTCCGCATCTCAACAGAGTCCGCCTTGATATAGTACAGACATGGTCCCATTGCAAGTGCTCACTGAGAACGAGATCGAAACATAAGACTGCATGGTCACTATTTCCCAAAGGAGTCATGATCTGAACAGAAATGTATTAGAAATTCAAGAATTCACCATCCAGAAACACAGGTTCAGACACGACAGATTCTCTTTTTTAGGGCTTAATTTGTTATAAGAAAACTAGCGTATCTCTTAAAGTTGTGGAATTTACCAGTGAAGACCGAAGTATGCAGTTAAGTCAAAATGTAACATAAAGTAACACAAGTTGTTGGAAAGGGTCTCACAAAATTATTTTGTCTAACCGTGAATATCGATAGATAAGGGGTATTACAGATACTAGCAGATGAGATCTCATTTTTAAAGATTAAATCCGATGAAACTGAAGTGCTTCCTGACTACACTCGATTGTAAAAGGATGTTGTAAACGCTACTAAATCAGTTCATTGAGATGGAATGTAAGAATTGGATCAATAGCAGAATACAGGAATTCATGGTGTTAGTTCAGTAAAGTTGAACTCATACCGTTACAGAATCAAGGTCCAAGACTTCCTGTGGCCGATTGCCTCCAACTATCTAATATCATC